ATTATCACAACCTTAACTTTCCGTTTTATTGTTCCAGTTTTGCTCTTCATTGTACATGTATATTCTACATTATTGTAGCTCAATTCAATCTGAAGCCAACTTTTAACTTTCTACGAGGCTCATTGTCGATGTCTTCCTACTGAAGTAGCGCAAAAAACACAAAATAGTTACTTTCTTTGGGCAAAGCAACTTTGAAAAGATTGTACTGCACATTAAGGCACTACGCACATTAAGCGCCTAATCATAGTAGTGTAATTGTTTCGGCATGCTAAAGTTTGAAGCTTTTATGCCGAACACATGTATTTCAATAAAGCTTGGTACATTACGATTCATAATCATGTTTTCGCCTTATCATAAAAGCTGCTTGAATCAAAGCGCCCAATATTGTAAGGCGCTTGCCATTTTGAAATCGACATTTGTTTACTTTTTTGGGTTGGAAATAAAAACTATTTGTCATTTCAATAGGAAGTAATTTAAAATGAATTATTTCGTGCTAAAATTCGTGCAAACAATAAGCGTTCATACAATATTTTACTACAGAAATATTTTCAGAAAACTGTAGTTGAGAAAGAACCGCCAGAAAATGTGTTATGTGTAGAATGTGTTTGACATGTGGTCGGTGAAGTCGAGTCGTAATGCATTCGATTCGGCACGAAGAAACGTTACTCTACTATGATTAGGCACGTAATGTACGGAGTGCCTTAAAGTAGCTTTAATTGTCAACGACATATTTTTCCAGCTGTCAAGCAACTTTGAAGTGCACAGTTCCAATCTCTAATATACAGGTGTACATTCATTCATTATAAAGGCATTAATTTTTTTTGTCATTGCTAATTTGCGATTTGATCGCAGTGATCAATTATACATATTAAAATTGAACGACAAATTATTGTACGCATACATGTATATATGTAAATAAATATGCATTTGCATTGAGGTGCCCTTTTATGGGGTTTAAACAGTTTGTTGACATAACAATTCATGGTTAATTTAATGTTTTTATGCTTGGCCTTACTACTTATTGCACTTTTTGGCGGAAATATAATCATTTGCGCAATTTTTTTATATTCTAGTATTTACGTTATTGTCGGTTAATATTTGAATGACATTTAAAGGAACGAAAAGCATGAGAATGCTTCTGGGAATCGTACTGGCTACTACTCTTACAGTGATGGAAGAAATAACAGAAACTTTTTATTTTGACTAATTTTGGTCATACCTTTTTCTTTTGGTTATTCGATGTTTAATATTTTTTTATAAAAGTCTGGCCCATTATTTATATAACATTTCAAACTTTGTACAAAAATTATATAAATTCAAATTTTTTTATCAAAATCGGCCAAAAACTTGACACTTTTTATTCAGAATTTTATAAATAAAATATAGCTCGTTAAATTTTAGTAGGTAAGACTATGTTCAAACAGCCACCTAATCGACAATTAAGAATCTTTTCACCAATTTTGACCTTAATTGTTACCCAATTTATCATACAAAAATTCAAATTATTAACTGCCAATAATAAATTAATTAAGCCAAAGTTCATCCACAGTCGGATCTCTTTCATTAGGAATTTACCTACCAACGGAAACCGATGGTATCTTGGGTCAGGGTAAGGGACTTATTATTATATTTACACAAACGATCTTCTAAGTCGCAAAGTGCCTTGTTTCTTATAAAATGGCTGTTCGGTTTGGTGGGAGTAAACTACTGAAGCCTAGCAACTTGTCTCTATAAAAACGGCTCTAATTAATTCAAAATTGAAATTTGTTCCGACACGTTTTCACAAACAATGGCAGTCCGGTTAAATAACACAAATAATGTTTATTAAAATATGCAAACTAATGTGATAACGTTTTTTTTGCTACTATTTAATTTATTCATTTAGCACCTTTCACTTTTGTGCAATTTATTTAGTTAAATATCGCACTGCCGCTGGAAGAACCTCATAGCTAAAAAATAAAAAAAAATAAAAACAGTTTTGCCATAAGTACTATGCAGAAATGGACGTCAGCTCAACTCTAATCTCAAAACGATATCCGACAATTGTGTCTTCCATACTCCAACATCGTGCACTTACCTTCAACCACGCCGAACCAGAACCAGTCCAGTTGGGATCTTGATCTTCGATCACGCCCATATCGTGATTAAATGATGGTATTGGAAAATTATTGCTGTTGTTGTGATCATTCTTTGTCACACGTTTGCTGGTGTACGAATTAATGCCAAAGAAATCGGCAGTGCCGCGTATACGACGCACCTCATCTGCTGTAAACTCTGGCAAGCGTGAGCGTGTGAAACCCTGCTCCTTACTCAAATTATGTATGCGATCGATCATAACTTGTGGGTAATTGCCACGTTTGGAGAAGATCGGATGCGCATACCAACCCAAATAGAATTGCAATGCACGTTCAGATGCTTCTTGATCATCCACCGAATCGGTTTTAGGTTCCATCCACGATGTGTCCATAGTTAAGCCGATTTTTCCCTTCTGTAAATCTTGATATTTCTCACGATACATATGCACCACCTCAGCGTGTGCTTTGAGCAAATTGTGCGCACACAAATAGCTGGGAATGCCAGGGTAATTGTATGAGGGTGCCATGTAATCAACGCCATAACCAAATTCACAGATGTGCCAAGGTTCATTGATTGTTGTCCAAATCTTAATACGGTCGCCATACATTTCGAATAGAAGGCGGGCGTAATCCTTAAAAACTGGTATAATTTCCGGATTCGTCCAGCCGCCCAACTCTTGCAGACGTTGTGGCAGATCCCAGTGATAAATTGTGA